TTACGTTACGTCGATTTCACAACGCACCAGTCGCAATCGGTTTCCTGTCAAATCGCATTTTGTTACGATAAAACGACGTAGTCGTAAGTAAATCTGCCTTCTTACGTCGACAGGAAACCAGGCTTTAAGGCCAACTCAGACAGCGTCGGCCGACGCAGCCCGACCCGATTTATCGTCGGGGACAATCTTAAGCCGTCGTGAGAAATATTAAACATGTTTAATATTCTACTACGCGACTGCCCCCGACGCACACCATCGCGTCTGCGTTCAACCCACACAGACACGACGCGACAACAAATCGCGTCGGGATGCGTCGGCCGACGCTGTCTGAGTTGGCCTTAAGTACCCTAAATATGTTTTCTTTTATAACTTTTAGTATTTAAATCATTTACATTATACCTGTATTTTAGATAGATGCTGAGATGAGTGTGTATCTCAATGAATTAAACTAGAGATAATTAAAGATGAAAATGTTATAGTTACAGTTCACTGTTAAATCATGGTTGAATACTGTACTAGATAGACTATTATAGAAATTATGATAGATGATTACTTATTATGATGCATCTAAGCTTTAGATTAAAGTTAACATAACTGTTATATTTTCACTATGCTATGAATAAGTAATTAAAACTTGTCATTATTGTGATGAACAAACTGTAGGTTCAATAGAATACAGTAGGCCCAATAGAACCCTATACAGTGCACTGCATTTATGTTAGTGACCTTCCCACATTGGTAAGGTATGCGGGGCTGTGCCACTGAAACCTGACTGTTGCTATGACAACAAAGGTTACAGAGCAAGTTAGGTAGATTACAGAGAGTAATTTATAACCCTGTTTTCCCTAATGTGTAACAAGAATAGCAACTGTATTAACAGGGTAGAGTATTGTATATTCAATTCTGTACTTTATTTTAGGCTTTAAACATTTCTCTATAGTAAAATATAAAGTGCTCATATGATGATTTAATGTTTTAATGTCATTTTAGTTAATTTAGTAAAAGTAATGTTGGGTAAAGGACCAGATAAATTGATTTATTAGTTAATTTGTTTTATGTTTTAACACTTGTCATTATGATTTTAAATGTTTTAAGATGATCATTAAAGTGCTTGATACAGAGTAACCAACATCTAACTGAGGTCTATGTGAATTCTTTCACAGTCGGAATATCCTGGAAACACCCGTAAAAAGTATTTTATTCTTTTTTAAAGTTTTATTTCAATGACCCATGTGTGACCTTTGACCCAAAGCGGTGAACACCTCATAAATATGATGTGACACAGGTCCTACTAACCAAGATTTATTGAAATCGGCACAGCCGTTTGGCACAGTAGCGTTTTAAAATTTTGCCAGAAAAAATATAAAAAATTACCATTTAATGAACTTTGAAAATCTCTGAACACCCAATAGACTCTGCCTTATTCCAATGTATATGTGCAAAGGACAAAACTGTGCTATGTTATTTGTGAGAGAAGTAATCTTTTTTAAGATTTTTTATTTTTTGACCCTAAAGACCCCTAGGTGACATTTCACCTTAGGCTGTGAACACCCCATGGGAGGTAGCGCCAGTCTTCTGACCAACTTTGAATAAAATCGGTCCTGTAGTTTGTCCCTAGCATAGCATTTAGAAATGTTGCCAGAAAGAAAGAAAAAGAAATAAAGAAAGAAAAACTGCTCAGAAACAGAACCCAGTTATGGGTATGTTTGCACTGACTAGGTAATAAGGGACTTGTGGCAAGTGTATTTGAGCACTAGTGGCCCGAGAAGTATTTACTTGCTTAATAAAATAAATAAATGCATTACAAATAATTTTTAGAGGGCTTATATAATTGATTTAAAAAAAAAGAGAAAACATTTTATGAAAAGCTAAATAAGTATCTTTTCAAAGGTATTTCCAATAATTCCGCTGTTTTACGTAAAAAAAACCCGCCTAAGACGTAATGATTTAACAGCAGTGTCAAGTTTAACCACTTTCAGCACGGTGTCTTTCACTTCATTGTATTAATTTTTTAAATCTTTATCGAATATATTTTATTGTTAAGCGAACTTGTTCGAACATCGGTGAATAACATGTTACATGATTTGACCTGCAGGTCATTTTTCGTCTAATTTTTGTAATGCCAACATTTACATATCAATAAACGATAGTTTTTGCAAAATACAATAGCTTTATCGCATCATATCGAGATCAACTATAATTAAGCTGCGGCACATAGTCACAAGTCGCATTAGATGAAGGCATTGTTTTATTTAGGCCTATCTTACTCAAAATTTGTTGGGTTTTTATTCGGAATCTTCTATGTATTTATACTCCAAGGTTGAAAAGTATAACATCTTCTAACTTTTGGTACCACCTCAGGGTAAGTGATAGTAAAAACAGGGTGCGGTTCAACGTTAATAGCGTTGCTAACGTTACGTAATTAGGTACTACTACGACGACGACTACTACTACTATCACCACTACCATTGCAAAATACAATAGCTTTTTAGCATCGAGATCAAGTAAGCTGCAGCACATAGCGGCAAGTCACATAGATGAAGAAATTGTTCTATTTATCGTAAACTTAATTTGTTGGATTTTTATTCGGAATCTCCTAAGTATTTATACACCAAGGTTGAAAAGTATAAAATCTTCCAACGTTGGGTAGGTACCACCTCAAGGTAAATGTGCTGTCTCCTATCTCTGTATAGTAGTACTATATTGGTTACTAGGCTACGTTGCTAACGCTTTATCTATGTTTATGTTCGTCTGCGGTATGCAGATGAGTCTTGGGCATATGTTCGTGTAGACGCTAGGTTTAGAAATAGACGAGACAAAACATTGGTACTGTCATGGAGGTGGTACTGTTGATAGTTGAGCTAGTACGAAGATGTATAATGTATAATGTAGCCTGCCACAAGAACAGTCTTTGTGAATAATTAATCAATCTTTCTACGATTTACACTATATAATAACTTGCTAAAATCACATTTATGTTTAACATTTATATCGGATGATACTATAGCATTATGTTACTATTGTCAATTACCAGTATTTCATATACCGTACAGTATCAAAGTAGGGCATAGTCTTATAGCTGTCTATGTAGGCCCTAAGCTTATACATAGGCTTGTTATAGACGTTTAGTGATGACGTTTTATTATTACAACTGAGCCCTATGTTAATATTTATCGTACTGATTTACGCCATTTATGTGGGGTAGCGGCCCCAAGCTGTTCGATATACAGTTAAATATCTACACATTATTGTGTGGATGTGGCGGCGTTTAAGCTAGCCTATGCTTATTTCTATGCTTTTTCATTTATATATTTCAGTTACCGCACACACGCACGCATACATTTATGTCATTGTTGATTAAACGGACTCAGAAAGCCGTACTTGTGTCTGTTGAGTTGTATTGACTGATTGTTGGTTAACTAGCTGGATAGCGGTCCCGGACATCCACCGACGTGAGGCCAGCATAGTAAATGAGAGTAATAACAGGGTGCGGTTCAATAGTTATAGCATTTCTAATGTTATTAGCTACTACTACTACTACTATTACTACTACAACTATCACTACCACAACCACTACCACTACCACTACCACCACCACTACCACCACTACTACTACTACTACTACTACTGCTACTGCTACTACTACCACTACTACTACTAGTGTTGCTGTTGTTGTTACTGCTGCTACTACTACTGATACTGCTACTGATACTACATAGGCGTAGATCCCGGGGGATGGGGGATTTATCCCCCCCACTATTTGACAAGGGGGAAGGGAGTGGTCCATTGTATCATCCCCCCAATATTTTGATTATGTATGGGATAAAATGGAGCTTTACACACTTCAAAAGACTGTCACAGAAATAATTTGCACTGTCTTATGCGCTTACAAATATAATGTTGATAACAAAATTATTTTATCTGGTACCAATCTAAGCTCTTCTTTCCTTAGATGTTAGATGTGCTTGCAAGGAGAGCCACATTTAACACTGAAGGGTGTGTACGAATTTTATGTCAATTCCAAGAATGTTTAAGGTTATATCGGTTGATGATGAATTTATTGATTAGGCCTATAATAGCAAATTGCATCAATTTATTTTGCAAAAACAAGTTTTCCAGCTTCAGAGTGGGGCACATCCCCTGTCCGCACAAGGGCACACATTGGCGCTAACACCAGGTGCGTAACAGGCGTCTTGGGTCAGAGTGGGTATTTATTTTCCCGGTTAGTAATTTACCATACCCACCCCACGCCACTCCCCATATAGAAAACAATACGACATAGGGCTTATCTTATTTATAATATAGGCCACACACGTGTGTTTGAAACTAAATATAAGCATTTTCATCATTATTTATTACAAACATTTTCTTTCACCATCAATACACGAGGCCCATCTTTTAGGTTAAAACTATCTATCTTAAATTTGTCTTTCTTGAGTTTGGGACTATTATGTGTTTAAATAACTTAAAAGAATAAACCTAAAAAAGCCCTAAAAACGCAAAATATTTTTGTGTTTTTAATTCTAATTTCGTCGGAATTGATGAAAACTCCCTAAAATGTGCAATTTATAGAGGAAATTGGCCTACCGTAATACCGAAATTTGATGTTTTTAGGCACTTTCAGGGGAGGAAAAGTGCATTTATAAAGGGGTGGGGAAGATTTTTCAAAGATTAAGATATTTTCCCCTTGTCCCCCAGTGGTTACGCCATCGGGCAGCATAGATGAAAGGAGTTATGACAGTTTTTGACGTGGAGAAGTGGTTGCAGGGTGTTGTGAGTCTGGTCATTATGATATCTTCCTTTTTATTCTTGTCTTTATTTTTCTCTTTTCTTTTTCTTTTTCTTTCCTTTTCTTTTCCTCTTCTTTCTCTTTCCCTCCCTCTCCTCTTTTTCTTTTCTCTTATTACCCAGTCCGGTACGACGGCTTGGTCATCCCGGTAAAAACCGTCAGGGGAGGGGCAGTTTTCCCCCTGCCCACCCCCCCCCCGCGCCTGTTTTACGACACTGGCTAACACGCCAATCATCCCCTCTAATGAAAAATATTTTTCTACGCCACTGGATACTGCTCTGCTACTACTGTACAACAGCTTCTGCTCCTACTCATTTTAATGTGAACAAAAATAAACAACTCTGGAACACTCTTCGTGCATTAATATCTTACAACATTTTCAAACAAAACTCAACAGCATCTTTTCTTTTGATTTGTTTGCAGAACTGGGAATTCTAAGCGCTTTTATAATACCAAATTCATGTTTGGCGTGGGTGTTTCATGATCCTAGTCTTAAAGAGCCTTTGATTTATCCTTTAGTGCTGAATCTCTATAGATGATCTCAGGGCAAAATCGGTAAAAAGAAATTTGCTTTTCACTTTAAATCACTGTACTAAGTAGTCTTTATATCGGTAGTACTAACATTAGTAGTAATTCAAACATTTGTAGTTTGAAAGGGACAACTAACTAATTTGAATTTCAGTTTAACACTTTTGTCTTTATTTTACTATATTACTTTTCGTAGTCATCATTTATGGTGTTTAGTTGTATGTGCTTGATAATAGCCACAACCTGTTTAAACAAATGTCTATGTAGGCTTACTCACAAAAAGATCACACTATGAATAATTTATGTAATAATAAATAATTATTTTTAAATTACATTCATTAACCTCTGTTGTAAATAAGTCTATTATACCTACTACAAGTTTTGTAATAATACAGAACAATATACTAAAATTACCAATCGGTCTTTTATTGAGAAAGTTATTAATGTGTCGTGTTCTTTGCTTGTGTAATAGAAAATTAACTATAATTTAGATTTTACGAATTTACTTACTACTTTTTTAACACCTTATAATGTTAAATTTATAATTATTGTTTTTGCACCCTTTCTACTTTAAAACTATTTTGACATGGGTGAAAATGTCGCCCTTTGATTTTCTGAAGCTTTCAAAAGAATATAACACTCAGCAGAAGCGACATGCAAAACAGCCCACTTCAATAGAGACGCATCTGTTTCAACACAAACTATGGGGTCTATTTATTAGTTCATCAACAAATTAATTTACAAAACGCAATTATCAATGTACAGTTTCTTTGATGTTTGTATGTAATAAAGTGAGTTTGGAATTTTGCCAGTAGTAACGTTATATTAATAACTAGCAAATAACATTTTGTGTTGATGTCTAAAGATATAGTAGTTCTAATACAATAGTGTATTGTTGTAGATGATACCTTGAAATTTGGTTGGCTGAACAGGGAGCGGCTTCCTGAGCATAATGCCTTCTATTTTTGCTCAACTTTACTCTACAACAGTATCCACACTAATGTCTATGAATTTTGCATAATTGTTACCTCCTCCAAAGAGGTTATGTATTCAACCCTGTCTTTCAGTCTGTCTGTGTCTGTCAGTCTGTTAGCAAGATTACGCATAAACTAAAATTTAGTGGAATGTTACATATTAATGAACGAAAGATATTACTAACTTTTTAAAATTCGATTTTTTCCCTTGAACATACCCTCAGCATAAAAGAAAATAATAGTTTTATTGTCATAATAATGATATTATGTGAATCACGGTTTATCATCAAATGAAGAAATAACAACAACACAATTGTTATTTCAGGAATAATAAAACTTGTTGAAACTAAACGTGGATAACATGACATCTAAAAAAGGTAAATGAGATTCAAATTAATTATATATTATATAATAATTTTTTAACGATAGCCATTTTCGTTCTCAAATTTGTATTTTCCCGTCATAGCGGCATTTCTATTTGAGCACTGCTATTATTATTTTTATATTTGGTATGGTATTTACAGTGCTACGCAGTGAAACCTAATAAGAATAATTTGCTATTTACTATTATTTCCTAGCTGTGACTTTCAAAGTAATTTTATAGCTTATAAAGGTGAGCGTAAAAGTCATTGTATGAAAATGCCTAAAGGGTTGGAAATATACTGTACTGGTTAACGATATGACACTGGCCCTTCTCAGTTGATGCTGCTGGTTCGAATCTCGAAAACTTAAAAAGGAACTTTTCATCACATGTCCCTATTCGAGCAACGGTATTATCATTTACGCAGCAAATAATTTATCAAAATATGTTTTGTCTTTTTATTTCATAGCTCTATCGGACAAGCAATTCAGCATGCTTAAATCTGTTGTCTCAACATGGTACGACGATCACGGACATCTTTCTTTGTTGAAAGTGTTATTCAGGGATAACGTGCCGAACGCTATGCTCTCGAAATGTACCTCAACGATGGAATTGCTTGATAATTTAAATGCTTGTGGCTACCTGAATCTTATTCTCGTACACGATACTATCAAGACAACGCAAAACTTTGGTCTTCTTAAAAAGATTAGAGAAAAGATTCCAGCATTTCCGGATGTTAAGGAAGGGCCAATTTTAACATTTAACATTCACCGACAACAGCTAATAAAATTTGGGATGGAGCTGAAATCAAGTTATATAGCAACTATTGATGGATCTTTTAATTCGCCTCTTAAGAAATATACAGATGGTTGGAGCATGATCAGTGACTTAGAAGACAGATTAGAGATCAGCGAAGAAAATATGGAAGAATTCATTAACACCTTAAAAACACTTAATGTTCCTCTGGCCGTAAATGCATTGACAAAAGGTATTAATTATTTTCTTGTAAGTCATATCGTTATCATGCCCATAATATTCATGGTAGTTAATTAAAAACACAATATTGTCAACAATTAACTTGTAGCCTGCCTTATCTAAATTATTTACATGCCTTACATGCTATAAAAATTATAAAATAAACAACTTTGAATAAAATCCACATTATTGCTTTAAAATTATAACGAAGACAAAAAATGAATAGAATATAGTGATTATTGAAAAACAGACATGAATATATAGAATTAGGAATCATCTAATAGGATTTTTGTCAAACTTCCATTCTTTTGTATCATGTCCATGTCATCTATAAACGATCTGGAGAATACAGGCAATGTCTGTTGGAACTTAGTCAAACCATAATTATTATTAGAAACTAACAGCGAAACTATGAATGTTAGTTTCTATTATTTCTACTAGTTTGACTAAACCAGTATTTATTAACCGTCTTACGTAAACAATCTAGTTTTGAATAGTTTTCAACAAAATATTTATTATTAGTGTTTGTGTTGATTGTTATAATATTATTAAGCCATTTGCTAATAATAACATAAAAATAATAGTAATGATGATAATGAGTATGACGAGTATGATAATGATAACTTAGTATTGGTAATAGTGGTGATAGTGTGTGGGTGTTGATGGTGATGTTTAAAGGATGGTTATGATAATGATGATGATGGTGATTATAATAATAATGATGGTGACGATAAAGATAATAATGATGATGATAAAGATAATAATGTAATAATGTAGTGGAGTTGTAATTTGGTGGTTCATATTATATAAAATAATATCACATGATATTTTTAATCACGACTACGGTTCATGGGTTTATAGAACATCATAATATTAATTATGAGTCTATTTTCTAAAATATTTTAGAATATTCACCCATTAAAAACATGAATAATATTAATATTAAGAATGATAGAATAAGTATTGAAGTTTTGCATAGCAAGTGTGTATTAAAATATAGTTACTTTTAATATCATTATTTTAAATAGTTCAAATGAAACAAGAATAGCTGAAATAAAAGATTGTTTGGACATCAGTACATTTTGAAAATGTTAACAATTTAATGTATTTTAATGTATTACCACTATAGGCTCAGGAAATAAACGACGAAATATTGATTCAAGCGACCAACCTGAAAACAAACGTGCACGTACTACTCCAAAATTTGGTGAGACATTAAAAATACATTCCTTCACTACTACATATCACTGTATAAATTTAAAAAGAAAATACCCTAACCGGAATTTGAAAGTGGAAATTTTGCTGACAATGCAGACGCCTTAACCAACAGCCTTAGTTGGGAATTCAAATTTGATTTTTGAAACTATTTCCTCACACTCTATTGCACAGCAATAGTGTTGTGTTATTCATATTTGATAATGGTGTATTAAAATACAACAATTACTGCTTCCTTTCTTCAATTCCTATCTGCAGTGTTTCAATATTCGAGGATGTAGGTCTATAGACAGTGAACATTCATTTAAATGAGAAATTATTGACAAGTAATTATAATTTGTTTGACCGCAAGATTCTAAAAGAATACACTATTAGATTGATCTATTAAAATGCACGTCTAGATTGACAAGAATCTCCAAAAGATCAACTAGAATACTTATTAGACTAACAAAATATCTTAACTATACTAGACAAGTTGTTATTATGTGTCGATTGTTTTGATTAACAGATCTCACTAGAGAACTTGTTGACTCTGCTGGTGGTGATCTTGAATTGGCGAACATCAAATTGATCATACCCGAAGGTGCAATTTCAGAGGGGGAGCAGCTCGTTGAAATTTCACTTGGGCATGTTATAAGAGATGCATATGACATACAGGTTTCTAATAAACTGGAATCAAGAATTTCACCCATAGTTACATGTAGACCATCAGGTATGGTCTTCAAGAAACCTTGTTTACTTTCATTTCCACACAATGCAGTTAACGAGGAATGGTGGAAATTTACTGTTCTTGTAAGAGATAACTCGAGCGGTACTTGGAAAAGAACAGACTGCGATGACCAGCATAATATTTCTGTGCGAAAAGGACGGTGTTATATAGAGACAAAGTATTTCTCTGACTTCACGTTACTTGGATTGATCAGGAATGCATCGTTCTGTAAAAGATCGTTGAACCTGGGATTGTTTGGAAAGCACATTCACCCAGAAGCGTATTTACTTAAAGTAAGAATTTGGAATGGATATGATAACAAGGTAATTACATTTTATAATTATTGCAGTCAGTGGTTTTAATCAAAATAAAATGCACACGTCACACGCAAATACAAACATACATATTTATCGCTCACATTTCACTCTCCTAATGTGATTCCATAACTAGTGCAGTGGAGTGGTTGACATACAGGTTTCTAATAAACTGGAATCAAGAATTTCACCCATAGTTACATGTAGACCATCAGGTATGGTCTTCAAGAAACCTTGTTTACTTTCATTTCCACACAATGCAGTTAACGAGGAATGGTGGAAATTTACTGTTCTTGTAAGAGATAACTCGAGCGGTAGTTGGAAAAGAACAGACTGCGATGACCAGCATAATATTTCTGTGCGAAAAGGACGGTGTTATATAGAGACAAAGTATTTCTCTGACTTCACGTTACTTGGATTGATCAGGAATGCATCGTTCTGTAAAAGATCGTTGAACCTGGGATTGTTTGGAAAGCACATTCACCCAGAAGCGTATTTACTTAAAGTAAGAATTTGGAATGGATATGATAACAAGGTAATTACATTTTATAATTATTGCAGTCAGTGGTTTTAATCAAAATAAAATGCACACGTCACACGCAAATACAAACATACATAATTATCGCTCACATTTCACTCTCCTAATGTGATTCCATAACTAGTGCAGTGGAGTGGTTAAGATGATGCCTTCCACTCCTAAGGTTCTCATGACCGCAGTCTACTCCACTTTCTAAGCCTCATAATAATACTTAGTCTATGTGTAGTGTATTTTGTGTTTATGTTAATCCTGTCAATGGTTTGCAGAGTTGACGTGTGATTAAGTCCACTGTCTGGAAAATTATTTAGTCAAAACAGTTTCTAATCAAATAAGAATACACGCATGCCTACATAAATTATGCAGCATTATAAGCAAATTATATATATATATATTATTCATTATTTCAGCTTGTATTAGAAGATGAAAATAAACTGAATGAGAAAAAACTGGCTGTTTACCCATCGTTGTTTGCAATGTATAAAGATATCGAGGTTATCATAGATAATTTGGACAATGGATTAAAAGTCGAAGGAGATACAAAAGTTGTATGGGTATATTTGTTTAGTTTATTATTTAGCGTTATGACTAGCATATGGTTACCAGTCGATTAAAGATGGTAGGGATGATGATGATTGTGAGGTAGAGGATGATTATGACGTCAGCCTAACATCTTACGCGAATATCCGTTTCAGCTTTATCGTACTGCGTTTTACAAAATAGAGAAAATTTCAAATTTTATACACGACCGGAAGTATCTTTATTAGGTTTATAATAACATTACATTTTAATGTGGATTGTGTCCTTTTTTTCAGAAACTCGAAGCTCCGCTCCTATGGTTTTCAAATCCGTCCCATGAATTTCAGTTAAAAACAGAAAGTACATCGATACAAGACTTACATGCAAAAATATCAACAACACAAGGATCAGGACATATTCATGAGAGACCGTTGCATACTCCTCTAAAAACTGGTAGGTCTTATAGCACAGAATAGACTTAGGCATAAAAGACAGTAGATAGTTTGGCAGTAGAAGGCCTATTAGAACACAGCATTGTTGCGATGGTTAGAGAAGCTTGACCTTAATGATAGGCAAATTCGAATTTAGTCGACATAATACTTGTTTTTATTAATCTTTTTTTTTTTATGTATTTCCATAATTATTGCAAGGTACGGTTATGAGCTATCTGTAATATCTGTCTATGTTTAGAATTGTTTAACCTACAACTCAATTAGCAATTTGGTCTTTTCAAAGCCACAAACTGTTTAATGTAGGTATAACAAATTTTGTTAATTAAAAAAATACAAACAAATATAAAAAAAACAAATTATGAATCATCAGTACCAACTCAGAACTAAAGAGGCAGTCGACTTATTCTTTTATTTCCACCATAGTAAATGTTATGTATTAAAGATAAACAAGAACCCCAACTTATCCTTATAAATATTACTTCCTACGAAATTACATTTTTACATAAAATAATGTTATCCAGAAAAGTGACTATTGCATTTTCTTAACTACGGTACGTACGTCTTCTACTACCTCTATGCCTTAAGAATTTTAAAATGGAAAATAAAATATTCATAAAAGAGAATTAGTTGAATCTTGAATATTTGTGTCGATGTATATTTGGTACAAACAGAACTACTATACATATTTACATGAACACAATTTTACACATTATTAATTTTCTACCAAAATATTATTTTTAAACTTACAGATCATTGACCTGAATCTTTATCTACGAATACACTCCATTCATCCTCAACTTAAACATACTGAAACAAACAGCCGTACCAGATGCAAGATTAGCTAATCAATGTTGTGGATCCAGGAATTTAAAAATAAATTGGCCCACGGAATTTAGTGATGTAGGGTCCAGTATACCCCAGCATCACCATGGTAGGGTACGAACCTCCAGATGGCTGCTAATGGCAATTTCATACTGAAATTTAAACTTGCATACTAATTTTTAAATTTTAGAAATAATTGGATGGGAGGAACACTTCGAGGAAGATTGCTCTTCTTCGAATAGTCCTGTTTGTCAGCATTTTCCTGTTTATTATGTTTCTCTCATACATCTATAAAATTAATATAATTTTTAATAATTAGGTTTGGTTTTATATTTTTGTTTTAATAATATTTATTGAGTTCTGGTTAGGATTTAAAGCGATTTTAAAAGTTTAGGCTGTGTACATAGTCATATTAGTCATTTAGTTTGGCTTCAGATGATTACTGTATATAGTGCCTTGTATGTTTTTGGCAGATTTTTATTAGAACATGACTTTACACTCTCTTAATAGTAGTTTGAATTGTTTAGGTGTTATTTTAAATGTGTAATTTTTTTTTTATGCTGACTGGATTTTTTTTAAAATTTTGTAATATATTTATGGTTAGACTAATTTCACAGTGAATATTTTGTAATAGGTAGTTCAGTTTTGTCCAGTTTAAAATAGCCTAGTTTATCTGAGTGATTTTCTTAATTTTGTTGTGTTTTACGAAAATTTATATCAAAATTTTATCATGATATAATATGATTATTACAAACTTTCATCCGATTTACATTTATAATGTTAATACGTTGCCTTATGTTATAGTAGTAGTATATCAGTCTTTATAGATTTCTTGCGATACACAAGAAGGAAAACATACGAAAGTACTAACAAGACTTATATAGTCTCAGTGGAGTCATTCTGTTGGTGAATTTGGCGGTACATCGGGAGAAAATTCCCCTACTATTTTCCAAAGAGTGTACTCAGTGCGTTCTTCTTGATGTGCACATAGGTCTTTTGTATTCTGGACTAACGTCTCATCCGAATGACGGTGCGCTTTGAAAATGTTTGCCATCCAGCTTAAACACAAGGTGAGCAGTAATGGGAATTGAACCGGTGACCAAAAGATCGTCACAGTTCAGCACACACCGTGGTTACCAACAGCTTAGACGATTGAGCTATGAGCTCTCGTATTACAATCATAATTCGTTATTAAAGCAATAATTAGGTTCGGTTTTATATTTTTGTATTGTTAAGTATTGTGATTTGATTACGTGACGTGAATTTTAGGCCGTGTACATTGTCATATTAGTAATTGAATTTGGCTTTAAATATTACTGTATTGCCTCTTGTATGTTTTTTTTTTTGCAGATTTTGATTAGGTATTCCAATTTTGTCCAGTTTAGAATAGCTTAAATTATCCGAGCAATTTGCATTTTAATTTAGTGGTGTTTTACGAATTGTTTCATCAATATTTTACTCATCATGCATGATTATTACAAACATTTATCAGGTTTTCATTTATAATGTTAATACTATGTTGCATTATGTTATAGTAGTAATATGTCAGTCTTATGAATTTCTTCGATGCGATACACACGAACGATAACTTATGAAAGTACTTACAAGACTTACATAGTTTTAGTGGAGTCTTTCTGTTGGTGAATTTGGCAGTACACCGGGAGAAAATTCCCCTACTCCTTTTCAAGGAGTGTCCTCAGTGCGTTCTTTGATGTGCTCATGGTCCATTTTGTATTCGTAATGACGGTGTAATTTGAAACTTGCATTTTTCTTCTCCACCTAAAACACAAGGGGAACAGCGATGGGAACTGAACCGTGACCAAGAGAACACCACAGTGTAGCACACACACAGTGGTAACCAACGGTTATCATAATTTTTTTTATTAAAGCAATACTTTGGTTCGTGAATTTGACAGTATTGTATATTCAATTAATGTCACAAATGTATGGTTCTGTTTGAAAAGTGTTTACAAGTCTAAACATGTAGTAGGCACCATGCCACACATATGAGGCACTACAGCTGGAGGTAGTTTACCGTCGGAATCATGTTGCAAGTGGTTCGGCCATTGTAGTAGGAACAGTGTGTGTGCGTGTGTGTAAGGGGGGTGGGGTTGGTGCAGTTAAGGTTGAGCGCTAAATTATTTGGCTGTTAAACCGACCTGGTACCCCTATCTACGGATACAGGATTTTAAATTTTCTGAGAGCGTATCCACTCCAGCTCCCACCATGCTTGGGGCTAAGGCGTGAAATGTTTGGAAATATAGCACATTTGGATGCCCGGGAATTGTAGCTGACAAACCTTCAGAGGCTCTGCCCCTCCCTATCCTGCTATGAGACACAAGCTTTAAAGCTAATAGAAACTGTAGTTCATACCCGCCTCAGCCCCACGATGTGGCTGAGGTGAGATTCTGAGGGCCTTGTACTGGTTCGAGAATAGACCTACAATCGGGGCTATTGACGCATAGGTTGACCTATTAGGCAAACAAATATTTATACAGTTTAAAATTACTCTTTTACTGAAGTGATCTATAGTAAAATCATGCCCCACCTCTGAACACCATCCGATGCGAGGCACCATCTAGAAGTCGGGGCCAGAAATATTACATTTAATCATGAAAGGGGATTATTGGTTTTTCCCAGCAGTAGCTGGAAAAGCCATTGTTTTTGTTCTGTTTGTTTTTTTTTTACATATTCCGCCGAGCACTTTTTTGGAAAAACAGACATAGGCCTACAGTAAGTGTACTTTACAATTTATTACTATTTTACTTAAGTAATACAGTACCCTGTCAAATAGCTTTCTGGTATTTCTGAGAGGTCTCGAAACAGAGACCTCGATAACAGAGACCTGAGACCCACGTGGAAACAGAAACCTCGAAAACAGAGACCTGAGACCCACGTAGAAACAGAGACTCACCTAGAATCTCTGTTTTTGAATGCCTCGGTCTCTGTTTTCGAAGGCCTGTGTCTTTGTTTTCGACGGCCTGGGTCTTTGTTCTCCTAATCGATGCTCAAAAAAAAAAAAAAAGAGACGTAATTATACGAAAATGAGATTCATCAAAAAATCGGAAAATCCTGTTAAATTATTGATTAAATATACACACAAAGTAGCCTACCTATTTTGCGATTTCGTGATGAAAATAATGTTTTAATGATTTAATGTTTTTCATCATCATCATCATCATGATGTGGTGGCGGCGGCGGCGGCGGCGGCGGTGGCGGTGGCGGTGGCGGTGGTGGTGGTGGTGGCGGTGGTTTTTTGCAAAATGAAGAAATAGTAAAAATGATCATGATGATGATCATGATGATGATCATGATGATGATGATCATGATGATGATGATGATGATAATAATAATAATAATATTTTCAAAAGCTCCAAAAGCGATACAGGCGCGCCTCAGATAAACCATGCATCCATCACATTTTCGTTCAATTCAGCAAACATGAAAGAAGGAATGTGATTGGCCAATAGTGTGGCCCTTGCGCCAGCTACTCAAAGCGGCGCTTTTATCGAGTTAACGCCGTAATCATTATGACCCTGTTGGCGTAATTCTAAGCCTGTGATTGGTTAAAAGTGAATAGCATGACGGCGTCTTAATTATGATTACGGCGCTTTTATTACGATTACGGCGCTTTCATTACGATTACGGCGCTTCCATTATAATTACGGCGCTTTCATTATGACCCTCTTGGCGTCATCCTAAACCTGTGATTGGTTGAAAATGAATTGCATTACGGCGCTTTTTATGAAGATAACGGCGTTTTCATTGTGATTACGGCGCTGTCATTATGGCCCTGATGGCTACACGCTTTACACTGCATGCTTTTTATGAATGCATTTTCCATGTATTGTTTGGAATATCCGTTCTTTGCCTAAACAGCGCCACACGGCACCGTGAACATTTACATAACAATGATATATTTTTTTAAAATAAACAATCAATAGCTACTGCGCGTCCTTATTAACAAAGACTCCAACGCTAGGGTAAGTTAATTTAGATTTAGGCCACCTAATTTGACCATCTAACAGTGTATATATCAAGGATTTCAATTTCGATTCTGTAATTAATTTGTACAGGCTTACAACATATACTTGTAGTATAATTATAACGTTTAAGCAGTATTAGTATTAGGCTTATGTAGCTTTGAATTAAGCTCATACTGCATTGGGTGCGGCACAGTAGTGCACAAAATCTAATCTATGCTATGTCTACTACTATCAACCTATTATAAAACTACTATGCTGCTGCTGAAGCTGCCACCACTACAAACGATTATACCACCGGGGACCTAACCGATGGGGACACATGGCCCAGCCTTGTCACGGTAAAATCTGTCAGGAACAAATCATATTCGAAGTACCTGGTCGCGAGTGCCATTTTAGCAATCTAGTGGTGACTAATCTAAATTTTATTTTCTACGGTGAGGCCCATCTGTCGGGGGTGCTTGCCCCAAGATCCACTAGACTGGGCTGTGCCAAAGCGTTTAGATTGGTAGGATATTCTCTAGCAGGTAGGACCAATACCAATCTGTCTATGGATAAGACAATTTAAAATTCTATTCTAATTTTTAACTGTACTACAGTACATTATCAGGACATCATATTTAATACAATTGCAACCTTAACATTGTTTAATATTTTGTCAAAAGAAGTACCGGTACTAAAACACTTAATTTTAACTATTTTCTTGCTTTTTGATGATCTTGTATATCTTGTTTGTGTAAAATTATCACAAAACAAAAGTCCGATTGAGGGGGGGGGGGGCGCTAAGTATTTATGTTTGTACCTATAGCCGAAGGCCTGGGAGCTGGGGTTGGGTATGGGAGGAGATGCCCCCTCCTCCCAAAACATGATTTAAAAAATCTTCTAGACTAGTAGATGGCCGGGAATGGCTGAGATGGAAAAATTTGGCCTATTTTTTTTTCTTTTCGGTCCTACTGCCCGACGAGCTTTGGCCGATGGGGGTAGGGATTGACCAGACCGATGACATAATTTCGTATTTTTTTTTCCGATTAGTAATACATTATATAACTATGGCATATGTGAATTACATATATGTAGCTTTCGTAGGCACAAAAAAAATCGATATTGAAAGGCGTCCGGCCTGGCCTAGCCGAGTTTGGCATGAGTAGAGGTGAATGCAGGTAAGGCTATATAACTAACTTGTTTGTTTTATTGTTTTTTACCACACACACATGAAATATAAAATACTCAACGATAAATATTACAATTGGAGGAGTTAATTAGTGGAACTGGCTTGACCCTAAACTTAACGTCTTGCTATCTTAATGCACTATGGCATGGCGAAAGTTAGCCACCCGAGTCAAATCTACCCGGATTCAAGAGAGGGCCTAGCAGCCATGGCCTAGGCCCTCAGGTGAGATTGGCCTAGCTTATATCATGCCTTGTGCCCATACGTATCTTTATTTATACCTGATCGGTTTTAAAACATCCCATTTATTGCTAATATGTTATGAACCATAAGAATACAGTATCTATGTATTCAGTATTTAAAGCAATGGTTCCTCCATTACTCAGGACAGCTGACAGTATGAAGTACGGGCCAGCGGTGAAGCCAGAAATTTGCCGTCATAGGGGCGGAGCCAATAGGCGGGGGGTAAATATATGTTTCATAAAACCCCCCCCAAAAAAGAGGGTCCTGGAAAATTATTGATTCTTAGATGGCGGGAAATAAGTTTTACCGACTTTTGAGGTGTGTCGACTTTTAAGTTCTTCCAAATTTAAAATTCCCCCCTCTCGAAAACGGACAGGTTAATTAAACTTTCTTATTACAGTAAATACACCTAATGAGTAGTTGCATACGTATTCTTTTCCCCATGAATCAATGAACCTCAAACAGAAAGGGGTAGGGGGTCCTCCTGGGAAAATTTTGATTCCTAGATAAATGAAAATATACTTTCCAGACTTCTCATTTTCCCATTGTAACAAACAAAAATAAATAAATAAATAAATAAATAAATTTAAAAAATAAATAAAATAAAATAAAATATAAAAAAAAAAAATAATAATAAATAAATAAGTTTAGCTCATAGTTCCAAAAACGGTAGATCTAGAATTTAGTTATTTTTTTTGCTCAATGGTTTATTTCGCGGCGCGGCATAGTACGATATTTTGTTGACATTAAGCACTTCGGTACAACAGCTTTCTATGTGACTAATGAAGATGCAAAACATGGCTCGTTTATTTAACAGCCAGGCACAATATTTGTTGAAGCGAAGCACTACCGTACAGCTACGCTCTAGTGTTTATATGTGACGTTAACAACTCTTGAAAAATGTCCGTCGAGTACTCCTACTTGGTGGTTTTAAGCTGTTTTTTCGTTGTTAGCCAATATCCAGCATATAAAAGTAGCCTATCGTGTTCGTGACATAATATAGAAACCTTAGTGTATGGTAAATGAGCACATCCATGTCAGAGATTTCATTGGAGATATATAAAGTTACGCCGAGGAGTTAAAATAATTAATTTATAGACGCGGAGGCATTAACAGAATTAATTGCTGCGAAGCAGCCAATTCATATCCCTGACAGCAATTTGACCTCTGAAAGGTCATTGTTTGTCAAAAAACAAGGGCCTAAGACGACTGAAAAGCGGATTTTCCTTCTTTCGTTCTGCCGGGTAAAATCAATTACTTTAGGCGACGTTTGTAGACTAACCTACACGTACCAACGTCCGCATGTCGCGACGCTTCAGTATTACTATTCAGCGTTTTTACTATATTTCTAGGTTTCCTATTTCTACGTTTAATCGGCCCATGTCTCAGCCACAATATTTTGAAGCCAATATTATTTACGAACCCAGTTAAACTTATTTACTAGCCTATTTCGGCGTGCTAATTATTACATTTAGGCGACGCTTGTTGTAGACTGGCATACACGGTA